TGTTGCATCAGGGAAGTTGAGGTCAGAGTACCTCCTATTGACGTTTAAAGGATATGTGGAAAAGAATAGCCTATGAAAGAAATTAAAAACGGATATCCAGGGAGTTATGAAAGAACCATAATAGAATGGTGTCAATTTGTCATGTTTCTTAAGCTTTATTACAATTACATTGTTCTTGATGACTAATATCATTAGTCTAATAACTATAATTAGTTATAATTATGCAAAATGGGAATGTAAGTTAATGTGTTCTCTATTTACTGTTCTCAATAGGTCTCATTAATACTGTGTATGAACAAAGTGTTTATCTCCATATTAGACCGTCTCTAAGGTCCTTCCAGCTATAAACATAGACTGCACATGAGCTCATGCTATGTTTAGAATCATAGACTAATTCCTAGAGGTGCAAATGGCTTGCACAGAATTTTGCACATAATAGTTGCTAAAAAAATCCAAGTGACTTTTTTTCAGTCTAATACTTATTTTATAGATAAGGGAATCAAGGCCAAAAAATGGTAATTCAAAAAGTTCAAAAGGATATCTAATATCATAGCTAGGAAGAAGCAGGCCTTTATTTCCTAGTTTCATCATCATTATTTTTTTCTCACAATATGATACCACCTTTTCTTAGGCAATTAGGAATATTTACAAATTAATACATCTTAAGTGATGCCAACAAAAACTATTAAATGAAACCTATCTTTTAATTATATCATAAGTTTACATTAAGCCAAACACTCAACTTACTATTTTTTCATTCACTTTATTTTTTCATTCATTTTAGCATGACCTGACCTTCTCAGATAGCATGCCAATCTCCTTAGCCGTCAATAAATTACAGGCTGAGCACTTTCTTAAGCACTCTTTTAAGTGCTTAAATGATAGGACACTGCTCTTGCAAAGTACATGGGAGTTATTTCTCCTATTTATACTCCGTATGTATCTATAAGTGCACTGGCAAAATCAACTTTAGGGTCATGCAGGGATATGGGAGTGGGAGACCCAGGGCATGAAAAATTCACTAAGCTAAAACCACCTAGGACCACTTGCCGACCTGCCACCTGTTTCTTCTCATTAGTGCCTTCGTTAGCTTGCAGACTCATTGTGCATTTCCCATTTTTTATATTATTTTCCAAGTGTATTTAATTTTGTATTTTGGTTTTATGGTTTTTATAAGTTATAGAGTATAATGTTTGTGAATAGTAGGGATTGCTAAAAGCCAGAAGCACCTATTAAAATTCTGCAAATAGTTGTTTCCTTCCCTTCCTTTTGAGTTACGACTTCTGTGACACAATATGCTAAGGGTTGTATCAGCCCCAAAAGATAATGTTTCTTTAAAAATGATATTTGCGATTTATCTTTATAATATAGTGATTATCTAAAATTATATATTATTAATTACATGTTTATATATTTATAACATGTGATTAATCATGTTATAATATAGAAATTATTTAACATACTTGTAGTGTAAACTACTTTTCAAAACTATTAAGAAGTTGAGAACCTGTATTTTGCTGCACTTTAAAATCTATTGGTAGGGACTTCCCTGGTGGCGCAGTGGTTAAGAATCTGCCTGCCAGTGCAGGGGACATAGGTTTGAACCCTGGCCCAGGAAGATCCCACATGCCATGGAGCAACTAAGCCCGTGCGCCACAGCTACTGAGCCTGTGCTCTAGAGCCTGCGAGCCACAACTACTGAGCCCCCGTGCCTAGAGCCCATACTCCACAACAAGAGAAACCACCACAATGAGAAGCCCCTGCACCACAATGAAGCGTAGCCTCTGCTCGCCGCAACTAGAGAAAGCCCGCACGCAGCAACAAAGACCTGATGTGGCCAAAAATATATAAATAAATAAATTTATAAAAAAGTAAAATCTCTTGACACTTAAAACATCATTTTTAACCAATAATTATTGATAGAGGAAAATGAACATAAATATATAAGTACAAATCATGTTAGCAGTTGTAAATAGTATAATCAGAAACAAACTTTTCACTCAACTGTTTTTGTAAATAATCTAATAAGAGAAAAGTTTTGATACAAATACATTTGTGAGATACTCTAACTTTATTTTATTAAAATCTTTTCTAAAGGTACATTTTGGATTTGGAAAAAAAACTGTAAAGTGAACACAGGCATGGAGATTTATAAAGTCGTAAAATTGGACAGATCATTCTGCTTGAAAATTTCTTTGTTATACATAAAAATATAAAATTCAGAATGTGTTCAAGTCTTTTTACTTATAAAAAATCAGAACAAGAGCCATGATTTTTACACTTAAGCTGAAAGCATTTTTATAAGCTGCATTTTCTATGTTTATTATGAGGAGGTTTGCAAATGTCCAAACACTTAAATGTATTTTCTAGTAAAAAATACATGATATAAAAGAGTATTGAGTAGGAGTACTCTGAAGTCTGTTGCTTTAAACATAAGATACATAATACCGTAAATCTGTGTGATACAAGCCAACTTAATAACCAAAGGGAAGGATTGTTATGCTTCAAGTGCTTCTGTGCTGCAAAGTTTCTAAGAAGCTTTTGAGTTTTCATGATTTTTTTAATGTGATCTTTTAGATGGTAAAAGTAAATGCGAATGTTGAAAAGTAATACAGTATCCTATTTTCTATTGATTCTAATAATTGCTAAAATGAGACAGCTAATACATCCTGGAATATTTTAGGTTGTAAATCAAGTTTATTTTCCACTGTGTTCATGTAACATGTTTGAGAAGTAGCTGTCAAAAAAAAAATTTGAGGACAAATGATGCAAATTGATATTAAAAATAGTGCAACTCAAAAAAGTATTATATAAGGGCTATAAGTTCAAACACCATTGATATTATATCTTTTCATCTTTATAATCCTTTTAAATCCGGATCACAGATAATAACCTGTGAAAAATTTGCTGAATCAACTATGAATGTTTTTCTAATGACTGAGTATTCATGCTCGTAAGTTTGCTATATTTATCAATATAAGGACTATATTTGAAGGACTATTTATGATACTCTCACAAAATAAAATTAGCCCAAAGATTCAGGCCTTCTAAATTTTTCAATTTCTTTTAATTTAGTTATGCTTATAAAAGATTCGTCTGTTGTCCACATGTAGCATATGCTTTCAAAGGTCATAATTTTTGTCTGAAAAAATTCTCTAAGTACCAGAAAAGTACTTACTGCCATTTAAACAGGAAGGTCATTTTGTAATGAAACATTTCTCTCTGTGTCAGAAAATATATTTCAAAATAAATATTTTACAGATTTGATGTACTCCCCATATTCAAAAGCTAAATCACCAGATCAGACTTACTGATTTACTTTTCAGTGTGCTCACTTGACAGTGTTTAGAGAGTTTCTGTGACCTCATGTGTCAGAGCTCATGCCAGAGGACAGGAAATTTGAATTTTGGGTGTGTTTTTGCATTTTCCTCTTCAATTTTAAAATTAAACCTCTTGTATTATACGGTAATCACATTTTAACTGAATGAAGAACAATCTGAAAACCACCCTGAGAGCTTCTGAGTGGGAGATGTTTGTATGGAAGGATTTCCAAGCAATCAGGGTGTCAGCCCACCTAATTAAGGAAGAGCTGCGAAGGGGTTCCCTGGCCTCAAAGTAATGTGACAAGTACTTTACTTACTGAGCATATAACTTTAGCCTAGAGCTTAATTCCTTTTGGGGAGGTCCAGAAGAATGCTTAGATCAGTCACTTTCTGGGCTCGTAAGTCACATCAAGATATACGTGATGTGGCAGCTTTCTAAACAGTGTTCCTAAGTTATCTTTTGAAGTGGTGGAAAACGGAAGATCTCTCTATGTGCAGATGTTCTACTAACAGAGGAAACGATTAGATTAACTGTTGAGTTTATATGAGCGTTCCTTCAACGTTGTTTATTTTGAACCTGTATCAGGGAAGTTGACCCCCTCCAAGAGTAGTGCTGGCACATTTTCTTATAATCCAAGATTAACTATTATCATGGAAAAGAAAGTCTACTGATTGCTAATAAATATGGGACAAAGTGACACTGTGTTTAGACTTTTCCTTGCCTTCTGAACTCCACAAAATTTTTGGATTGTGACTACAATGACTTTGTACATTGATCATAAAATGAGACATTCTGCAACCACACAGGAAAGTATACTGTTATAGTAGAATTATAAATCACAAAAAAGAAGAAAGGAAATAAATGAAAGGGAGGAAGAAAGGAAAGAATGGACGTGGGAAAGAAGGAAATTATTAGCAGAAGTAATTTAGGACATCTCAAAAAGAAGTAGAAAAAGGAATTCACTGTTACGATTTCATGGCCAAGGCCTTCTGGATTTATTTTGGTTGGCTACATAACATAACAAAATTGGAGCATCACAGCGATGTGAAATCCAGAAGCTATAAAAGAAATGTTCTAAATTTTACTGCATAAAATTAAGTAAGAGTTTATATGTCAAAGAAGCAAACACACAAAGACGTCAAAGGCAAATTACATACGGGAACATTTTTGGTCACATCCTTAAAATATAAAAGCCTTTAAAATGTTCAAAAAAGTCTAAGAATCTGATTGAAAAAATAGCAAAAGTTATTAACAGCTCATAGAAAAAGAGAGACCCTTATAAATATGTGCATGTGATATGCTAAACATTAACTATAAAGCAAACAAAAAAATGTGATGATAAAATTGGCAGTTGGAATGGATTAAGGACTTACTATGTGCCAGAAAATTTAGCATCTCGTAGGAATTATCTTTTTCATGCCTCAACCTCATCAGGTCAGTATAGTTAACACCCCTATTTTACAAAAGAGAAAAGTATGGCTTAGAGAGTGTTAAAGACAGAATGTTTGTGTCCCTCAAAAATTCATACGTTGAAACCCTATCCACCATATGAAGGTATTAAGAGGTGGAGACTTTGGGACATAATAAGGGTCATGAGGGTGGATCCCCCATGATGTGGCTGGTGCCCCTATAAGAGTCACGAGAGAACCCACTTCCCTTCTCTGATCTTTTCCAAGTGAGGCTACAAGGAGAAGTCATCCATTTGCAACCTGGAAGAGAGCTTGCACCAGAACCAGACCGTGCTGGCACCCTGATCTCGAACTTCCAGCCTCCAGAACCGTAAGAAATAAATTTCTGTTGTTTATAAGCCACCCAGTGTATGGTATTTTTGTTGTAGCAACCCAAACAGACTAGGAGAGATTTTCTTGTGAATGTTATTAGATGAACAAAAATTAGAATACAGGGGGTCCCCCTTATATTTGAGTTGTTCAAAAAGCCCTTTTGTGGGAAAGAAAGGTTAGACATATTTTTCCCTATTCCTCCCCCAGTACAGCTGAAATACCTGGATGTTATATATAAACAAAACACAAGCAGACTCTGAAAGGAGAGAAGAAGATGAACTGACTAGGTACCTAGGGACCCAGGGAACAGGAACGGCATGGTCGTGAGTTCCTTGGTTTTTCTCTTTACCTCATTTATCACAGACTCTGTGTTTGGTGGAGAAATCAGCCAACCAGTAAACACAATGGGTGAAGAAAAAAAAAACAAAAAAACAACCAAGTACACAAACCTACCTTCTTTACCCAAAGGACCAGTCTTGAAAAAATATTTATGCAACTCTATTCCAGCCACACACTACACACACAGGGTCTAAACACTCTTCCCCTCCCTCCGCAGGCAAAGGCATAGATTCCCACCTTGGTCCTGAAGTAACGAGGGTAATGAGATGCTCCTGTCCTCTGCATCCCACACCCTCCCCCATGTGGTGTCAGAGAAGGTTGAGGGGGGAGTGAAACTTCTGTCTCCACCAGGTTAATGAGCCCCACCTTCCTTGCCTCAATGTGTTATGACTATAGGGTAGAAGTCAAAGCTTTGTTAATGGTCAACCATTAATGTTAGAAAAGTATCCAATTAATGCTAGTTTCAAATGCTTATAAATGTATTTCGATGAAATGTATTTAAATATAGAAGTCAAAACAACCAATATTTCTTCCTAAGGATTCTACATTATAGTACACAAACCTTTTAACATCTCATTTTAAAAATCAATACATTACATACATTCAGTGGTTATTCTGTGGAGAATATATATACCCATACACACACATATATATCTCTATGTACAGACATATGTATACAAAACTAATAAACGTAACTGTATGAAAGATATGTGATCAAGTACTCGTGGCTTTGGATAAAATTTCAAGTAATAGTATAATGCATGGATTTAAAAACCATTGTGTATCAAATATTTCTAATGGAGGAAAACATGTATTAGTGAGACTATTGGGTTGGCCAAAAAGTTTGTTCGGGTTTTTGGCACCCTCTTACAGAAAGTCCCGAACGAACTTTTTGGCCAGCGCAATATTTTGCTTATTGAAAAGTGGTTCATGCAATGATGAAGAAACTAATGGGAAAGATGAATATTAAGAGAATTAGTAAGAGTGTTGTTCATAATTTGTGACAGTGGTACCTGCTATTACATGGTAATTTTAGCTAGGCTTTTTTCCCTAAGATACATTTTCCCATACTAGGAAGTAATCTATTCCCCCAATTATACCTTATTCATTTTTCCATTTCTAATGTATATAGTAACAGCCTAATAAATGTGTTTTTAGTGAGTAAACTAATATATTTTTTATTTTAAAAAGTGCCATATGATACACTTTTTATAAACATGGAAGGTTTTATTCTCTACTAATATAAAAATGAGTACACAGACACTATGCATATCAGTATTTTTAACAATTCTGTTAAATACACAGAGGTGGCATCTCTCTGGTTACATATTGTGAAAATACCGTTCTTGACTTCCTCATGTCCTTGTGTTAGGTCTTGAAGCAAATAAAACGGTACTCTTCCTGTTATCATAAAAGGGCCATTTGATCTTCATGAGAAAAAACACAACAAGCCTTTTTCAGCCCCGAGGGCAGCACCGAAGCCAGGAGCGCTGGCTCTCGCTGTGGCTCCCCGAGTACAGGGCTGCACGGAGAGGCATCCCGCATGCTGAGCGAGAGCTCCTGGCGCTGCTGTCTGCCATGATCCTCCCTAAGGGGAGGCCACCTCCAAGGGATAGAGATCTACCCCAACGAGGAATCACCCAGGGCTTTGCAGCCGGCGTCAGAATGGGGAGAAGGGGGGCAGAAGGATTCAGAGGGCCAAACTGACCCTCAGCTCTGTCAGGGGAGAGTGATAGTACTAAGTGCATAGTGTGGGCTGGAAGGTCTTTGGGATAGACTGAAGGAAACCCTGATTCCGGTATTCCCTCCGACCTCCGGGTCTCGGCTTCCTCATCTACACAAAGAACTGAGTCAGGTGATCTCAGAGGTTCCTTCTAGCTCTGGGTTTCTGTGGAATTGTGATTCGTGACACTCACCACTGTTAGGTCCTCACTGTGTGTCAGGCATGATGCCAAGTCCTTTTTTTTTTTTTTTCCGGACGCGCAGGCTCAGCGGCCATGGCTCACAGGCCCAGCCGCTCCGCAGCATGTGGGATCTTCCTGGACCAGGGCATGAACCCATGTCCCCTGCATCTCAACCACTGCGCCACCAGGGAAGCCGCTTAAACACTTTTAACACAATCTGCCTAAGGACAGAGCCAAAGACCTCTGGGAATATGTGGAATTCCTCAAATCTCTACTAAGCAAAGCAAAGCAATTTTCTTCAGGTGTGTTAATTCTGTTTTTTTGGAAAGGGGCATCTGGAATTCTTATTTTGTATTTCTGGTCTAATATTTTCACATTTCTCTTCATTTATGTTGTTTTGTCCTTGTCTTTTGAATATGCTTTTTGGAAGAGTTTCTCAAATTTATCTACCACATTACTGATACAGTTTTCTACAAAATAAATTCTGCTCTTCTCTGACTCCAATAAAAGTGTTAATTTTGTTACTGCACTTTAAGGTTCTAAGCAGTGAGTCTTACTGTCCTTTATATTTGGCACATTTACCTTCCTGCTACCGTTTCATGAAAATCCTAATGCTTTGCCGCTGTCAGATGTTAAATAATTTTCTAAGATAATTTTAGTTTTTTTGTGTTTACAAAGACTCAGTTAATTCAAAGACAATACATTTTTTGCTACAATAATCTAAAGGCAAGGGATAAAAGGATAGAAATCAATTTTACCAGAATTTACTTGCACGCTTATAGCTGATATCTCTTGTATAACTTATTTAAGAATATAAAATTCTTAATATTCTCATATTCTTAGAAATATTATTTTTATCCTAATTGATGTAAACATTTTTATGATAAGGTGGGGATATTGAAGACACTGTATCATTAGCATGCAAGTATATTTGAAGTGCAAACATGGCTTTTAATAACAGATTCTATAAGTGTTTCAACATAATGGTTATCTATCTTCTTAACTTATTATAAAGTTACTCTATAACATCTGCCCCATATCAAAGTAAATAAACCTGTCAGACTCAATGACCTCTATATTCCTAAAAAAAATATTCATATTTTAACTTAATGATTTAACCTACTTTAGTCCACTGAAAAAAATGCACAACCTAAAAGTTAAGAGTTACGTTATATCCGGTGGACATTCTTAGGACTTCAAGCCCAGGAGCCAGCCTCTCAGATAGCGCTAAGAAAACTGCTCTGAGGAGGCCAGGCTTTGTTTTTTTGCAACAAAGGGCGGGTAGTCAGAACACCAAAAGATTCTTGTTAATTAAAGAAAACCAGATATCTCAAGTTAGGGAATTTAGCACTTTTCTATATATGGGAAGATGCAAGAGTCTGGGCTCACTGGAATCTTTGCTTTGCACCTCAGCTACCTGGGGCCAGTAGTATCCTGTGTTTTCTCATCCTCAGTTTCCTCAAACTGCACCCTCAGGGGTGACTGCAGTCTGGTGGCTGCTAGATGGCGGGCATTCCTTGTTTCCTTCCTGACTTCCCTCAGGGCTCACCATCAGGAGTTGTTGCAACCGCTGATGGCTGTGGCATCCATCCTGTTTATTGATATGGCAGGCGGCATTCTTAGTCTGCACTGTATACAAGTTATCTTTTCAACTTTTGTGTTTATCACCACTGCACGTTTTGCTTGGATCTTGAAATGAATGAATAACCAATTAAATGAATAAAATTATCTTTATGTTGCTGAAGAAAAGTTAAAATCATAATTTATTTAGCAGGATATCTAGGTTGACCTGAACTGAATTGAATTTTCTAGAGTATGGTAAAGTAAATAAACATAAGATTTCATAATTGCTCAAATTATCGATATTTTCAGAACATCGAGTTATCTGTTCATACAATAAATGGGATTTCTGACTGTTATTATAAATATAGCCCTTCTCACTATCGTGTACTGTTTAAGATACAAAGATATAGCAAAACTGAGAATGCACAAATTTGTGATGAATACCATACTAAGACCTAAGTAGATAATTCAGCTTAATTTAAAAATCACTTTGACGGTTCCCAACAATTCGAATTAATCAGATAGTTGCACAGCTCTGGCTTCACAATGGGTATCTGCTGAAATAGAGATATTGAAAAAAAAAGACGTCTGATACTTCTCTTTTAATCTTGACCGTTTTGTGTAGGGAAAACAATTATGCGGGATTTCACTTTCACATGCCTGCAAGGGCTAATGGGGAATAGAACTCTGTTAAAAAAAAAAAAGGGGGAGGCAGGGGAGTGATGGTGAAATGGAGAACACTCTGACAATTGCATTCAATTAATTAAAAACAGCACATACAGAAACACCAAGAAAACACAAATCAGTCTGAAGGCCAGATCCCAGTAGCTTTCCATTCCTATATGTGACTAATGGGTAAAAACATGACTTGACACCAGAAAATAAATGACCAACAATTAAGTTAATCTAGTTGATTTTGGTGTCACTTAGAAACATTTGGTTACTATATTAAAAAACCTTTTACTTAAATGATCATTAAGGGAATATCATTCTTTAATGATTCTAGAGTCACTGACCATATATTTTAGTAAATACAGAGTATCAGCATTAAAAGTAGAAAGAAAATTGGAAGCATTGTGGCATTGTGGAGAATCTTCATGCCACGGCCGACTAGAGTACAGAATTTCATATGACAAGGCTCTGCCTTGGACCATTTGCGAGTGGAATAATTTATTAAGGGGAAGACATTATAGCTAAAATAAGACCCACTGATATTATTAATGTAGAAATACTTAAATATCAAGAGAATAAAGAAGTCTC